TTACCATAAATGAAATCAGATCTAGTAGTTACTGGGTCCCTGGGATGAGCAGAACTGTTGCTTCTTTCATCCGTCAATGTGTGATCTGCCGCAGACTTCGCAGAGCTCCAGAAGGTCAGAGAATGAGTGACCTACCTACTGAATGCTTAGAACCCTCACCACCATTCACATACTCCGGCATGGACTGCTTTGGCCCATTTATCACTACAGAGGGAAGGAGACAGCAAAAAAGATATGCACTTTTATTTACATGCTTTTGTTCCCGTGCTATTCACATAGAACTTTTAGAGGATTTGTCCACTGACATGTTTATTAATGCTTTAAGATGTTTCATTGCTATAAGAAGTGCAGTCCGCCATGAAGTCTGCTGTGACCAGGGAACAAATTTTGTGGGTGCTCAAAATGAGTTTAAAGCAGCCTTAAAAGAATTAGACACAGACAGACTAAGTGCATATCTGTCCCAAAATCAGTGTGACTTTGTGTTAAATGCACCACACTTCAGTCATGCAGGAGGAGTTTGGGAACGCCAAATAAAGACTGTAAAAAGTGTACTGAACACCACTCTATCACTTGCTCACGCTAGACTCAATGATGCTTCATTAAGGACTCTATTTTATGAAGCCATGGCCATTGTCAATAGCAGACCACTGACTGTAGATAACCTCTACAATCCTGACAGCTTGGAACCACTTACCCCCAATCACCTGCTCCACATGAAATCCAACGCAGCACTGCCCCCACCTGGTAGATTTCTAAAGGAGGACCTCTATGGGAAAAAGACATGGCGCCGTGTGCAGTTTCTGGCAGAGCAGTTCTGGAGTAGATGGAGACGGGAATATGTCCACAACATCATTGCAAGGCAGAAATGGCACTCACCAAAGAGAAATCTACAAGTAGGTGATGTTGTGTTGGACATTGATAAGCTCTTGCCCAGAGGTGAGTGGAAACTTGCAAGAGTCTTAGAAACAGTCATCAGCAAGGATGGACTCATAAGAAGAGTGAAAATCTTCCTTGGAGATAAGAGACTGAACAAAAAGGGTGAACGTTGTTGTAAGCCTTCAGTTGTAGAGCATCCGGTACAAAAGCTAGTGTTATTGTTAGAAAGTTCTTAAGTTAATTGTTACAAAAGGTTATTTCTATTTGAGAAAATTATTTGCTGTTGTTTTTTATGTAAACACTCATAATTTTGGTGGGAGTGTAAATAACCTGTGGTATAATTTGTCTTGTTGAAATCTCTTGGGACTTTTTATGATTGTTTTTTGTGTTGTACCATTTTCTGTTGTTGACCATTGACTTGCGCATTTGTGTTTGGCGCTTTTATTTTGAAAGGTTTATGTTTGTCTGGTTGCCTTGACAACGAGAGGAGAGAAACATTGCGGAGCAAATGTACACATATCATTTTTGGTATTTTTCTAAGTTTTTTGTTTAGCTTTCCCTCTGAAGAGGCACAAAGCTCTTATGGCAGATTTGAAGGATTTATTGACATTAAATCTAAAAATCGCCAGTTCAAGTGTCAAGTCTTCATTCAGAGGGATATGCTACAATTTATTTATATATATATATATATATATATATATATATATATATATATATATATATATATATATATATATATATAGGAACACAGACTGACAGTAAAGCTTTGCCTTTCGGCTCAGCTCCCTCTTCACCACAACGGTCTGATACAGTGACCTCATCACTGCAGACGCTGCACCGATCTGCCTGTCAATCTCACACTCCATCCTCCCCTCACTTGAAAACAAGACCCCGACATACTTGAACTCCTCCACTTAAGGCATGGACTCTCCACCCACTTGGAGAGGGCAAGACACCTTTTTCTGGTCGAGAACTACGGCCTCAGATTTGGAAGAGCTGATCTTCATCTGATCTTCACCTGATCTTTATCCTAGCCGCTTCACACTCAGTTGCAAAGTGCTGCAGGTTCTGGTTTCATGAAGCCATCAGGACAACATCAGACACGTGTAGAGATCCAGTGTTCCACAGCCAGGATGAAAACCACACTGCTCCTCCTGGATCCGAGGTTCAAAAAGTACAAAAGTACTCCCTGACCCTTCTAGAACTATACAAGATAAACTGTAGCTTTCTGTGAACAAAAGAAAGCCAGACAGTTTTCTTTTTCCATGGGAACTTTATTGTCACCCTCCATAAAGATACAATATTATATTTATCATCATCACCCATAGTATTATCTTATATTCTAATATGAACATTCTAATGGCATTTTTACAACATGTACCGGGAGACTCAGGTCCACCGCCAGCTCACACACTCACACACGCAAACACACACGCAAACACACACGCAAACACACACGCAAACACACACACAAACACACACACACAAGCACAGAGACAGACAGGAGTATGGGGTCAGATATGGGGTTGTGTATTACCCTTACACTAATGAGATATAGACTGCTCTATAAGTCACATCCATGTACTTGTAATTCAGAGCACAGGATTCTACTGTAAACACCACATGAGTCAATAAGTGTGTAGTTTTGGTCATAAGAAACGTACAAGATACATTCAACTGCTACATCCAAAGGGCAGAAGTGACATTCAGATCATTTTATGGCAGGAAATAATTTATCATTTTTTGTACATGTACAATTTGGCTTTTTAAAATTAAAAATAGAAAAACAGAAAGTTAAAACCATGCTTTGGAATATTCTCCATGGACTGTGAAAGAATGTAGCAAAAGAGCATTTTCATGGAAACAAGCAGAAGTAGTCAGGTTTGTGGAGATGCAAGCCCACTCACAGTAAAAAAGCACAGTAAAGATGTGTTTTTCTAAAACAGGCAAATAGAAAGATAAAAACACATTTTAGTGAATCTGTCTATTTTTTACATGAGGCTTTAAGGCTAATATTATAAGATCAAATTTTTTAAATCTAATTTTGGAATACACGATTCCCCAAATTGTCACTTGTGCCCTTAAGATTTTCAAAACTGTATGATATTTTCTGTTTTAGTCTAACTTAATTGTATCAATGAATACTATAGATACTGGTGCCCTCTCTTCAGTGTTTGTGGGTGCAGTTACCATCTGCTCCTGCTGTTGGCGTTGTGGACTAGTCTGTACAGTGAGCGGGCTCAGGAGAACGGGTGGCGCCCTTCTGTGGAGGAAGCGGGCGTTACAGGAGCCTGCTGACCCCAGAACCTTCTATGGCCTATTTACACATTTACATAGAATGGACCAGGGCCAAAAAACCAAGACCAGACAGAGAGCCAGAGCATCCTCAGACCTGGGTCACTGCAAACACTATTTCACTTTAGACTATATAACTTACAGAGTGAAGATTAATGTTAATTGTATATTGTTTATGCTTTGGTTTATGTTTCCCAGCATTTGAACACATCAGAGGTGGGTAGAATAGCCAAAAAAATTTGTCAAGTGAGAGTACTGCTACTAGTCAAGTAGAAGTACAAAGTAATTGTCCTAGAAATAGCACAAAGTTTTGAGTTAAGAGTAACTGTCTGGACATAACATCTGACTTATAATTTGAAGTTAGTGTGCATTAAATAATGCAAAATCTGGTATTTTAAAAGGACAGACACACTGCTCACAACAAAACCAAACCAAAACCTTTACTCAGATTAAAGTATTTTTACATTCGCTGTTGGGAATTAACTAAATACCAAAAATACAAATCTGAATACTAACTTTCTGTAAATGTGTTCAGGTACAGTCACCATTTGATTTAGTGGAACAGGGAAAGGAAACAGGGGCTTAGGCATCATTGATCTCCTATTTATAACTCCATCCACAGACCTAAATTAAAAAAAGAAAACAATAGGGAGCCAGTATACTACTAGGTGTGAGAGCACCCATCAGGCACCTGAAAATATGGCTCAGACACAGTTCACACTTAGTGCAGTTCAATGGGTCTATTGAGCTAACAAAAACTGTAAACAAATAGGTGTGCTAGTTTCAGTGTACTGTCAGTGTAGTGCTCCTCCCTTTAGGCAGATATAAGGCAGTGTCCACCAGTGTCTGACCAGAATTTGGATGAAATATCTTCACTCTTGTTACGGCCCCAGGCCTTAGATTGTCATTTGTTCTGTGTGTTCTAAATTATTCTGCTGACACACCTGGATTCCTGCTGTGGGAGCCCTCGTTTGTGATTGGTGGGGCAAGTCTATGCCCACCTCACCTGCAGCCACCGCCCCCTATTTAAGGAGATTACCAGAACCTGTTTGGTGCTGCTGGTTTTGGTGGCCAGTATGCCATTTTGGTTTCGTGTTTGTGTGTGTAGTTTAGTTTAGTTCTGTTTTGTGCCTTTTTTGATTTGGTCACTCGATTCTGTTTGTGGGCTTATGTGGTTTAAACCACATAAGCCTACAAACGTGGGGAACTTCTGTTTTGGTTTCGTGTGTGTCCCTTAATTTTACCACTCGTTTTTTTGTAAGCCTGCGTGACCCCTTTTGTGGCACAAAACTCTGTTTATTCTGTTGTTCTGTTTCTTAGGTTAGGTTATTTTTTGTATATTTTTAGTCTTTTGTTAATTTACTCTTTACATTCCTGTTAATTAAACATTATTTAATTTATTCCATTTTTCATCTTGGTTTTGTTTTTGTTACTTCCCTCACCCCAACGAGCTTGGTCATAACAACTCCAAAAAATGTGTCCAGTTGACAGAATTAAATTTTTTCTTTTGCTTTGGTGGAATACTGTTACTCTCCTAAAATAAAATAAAAAAACCAGAAAACATTACTCTTGTGGTGAGTGTATGTGAGATTCCTCCCTATCTAGTCAGTGATAAATTAATACAGTCAGTGCAACAAACATAAAGAGTCTTTCCTAAGTCACTACATTATTATACTTTTCATAATATGGTCCTCTGGTTGCAACATGTCATGTGAGGCGTGGAAAGTCTGATGAGGGGGGGCTGATGGCAGCATAGTATCCTGTGACGTCACAATATTAGATTCAATATTAAATGCAGTGATCCACAGTCTCCAGCAGGGGACACTGCATTACAAAATACAGTTTAATGCACATATTCCATATTCTGGAACTAAATACATTTTCAACACGATTCTTCCCCTCACTGGTTACACTGTACCTATATTACTCAAGTAGGAGCATAAGTATGAACACCCAAACAAATTTACTCAGTGTAACTGAGAACTACCCACCTCTGAAACATACAACAATTCTTACACCAGATGCCGTTCCTACTGCAATCGTCCACTCTTGCCATTAAAATTGAGAACTGGGTGAAATACACAGACTTGTTTATCATAGATATACTGTACACTCTTTATGCTTGTAAAGAGGTGATATCTCCACAGGTAAAGCTGAGGGTGCCCTGGCTGTGCAGTCACACACGCACACACACACTCCTATCAATGACCATAGACACAGATTGCATATTCCAAACAAAGTAAAGCCACTGTCCAATAGAGGGCGTACATCATATTCACAGGCCACAAAAGCACTCTTCTCTGCTCCTATTTGGTAGATCTGCGTACGGTGAGAGTTGATATTGTGAATTCAAACAATGCATTTTCACTAAGACCATGTTTTCAAGGTTTTTTAAAATGTGTTTTGTTTTTTTCTCTCATGGATGAATGCTAAAGTGATTCCACATGAAGCTTCAAATGTCTAGGGTAGAATTGCACTGGGCGATCAGAGTTCTGCTGCTCTTTGGAACATGTCAAGTGATGGGGGGAGACAGGAGAGACAGGAGAGAGAGGAGGGGGGGGAGAGTCCAAGTACATGGGGGAGAGAGGGGGAGGATGGGTCAGTCCCATAGACTGTATATATAAATGGACAATGCCAGCCTAGTCTCAACGAGGTTCATTTGTCTGGAGCCAAATACATTGGGTGACGTCATACTACCTCAGTCCACTTCTATAAACAGCTATGGTCAGTACACATACCTGGGCGAGAGGGGGAGAGGGGTCAGTCCACATTCATGGGGGAGAGGGGGAGAAGGGGTCAGTCCACGTATATGGGGAGAGGGGGAGGAGGGGTCACTCCCATAGACTGTATATATAAATGGAAATTCCAGAAAGGAAGTTCACATGTGGCTTTTCCGGCTCCTTCTGACTCTGGCTCCATTGACTTACACTGGCATGTTGTGGGCCTCGTCATTTTGGTCTTACAATATTCATATTAACCCACTCTATATGATGATGGTGTTTTTATTTTGCAATTTTGGCCTGGCTCCAATCCATTTGCAGCTGTAACTGCTGGCATCGTGATCTTAATTAAAGTGGAGCTGAACGCTTAGTCCAAATTCTTTATACACTCTATGGTCAGACCGTGTACATGGGGGAGAGCGGGAGAAGGGGTCAGTCCACATACATGGGAAGAGGGGAGTGCATGGGGTGTCAGTCCACATACATGGGGGAGAGGGGGGAGGAGGGGATCTGGTCCAATATGCGGCACACGTATCCAGCCACGTCCACAGGGCGCTCCTCGTACATCAGGATGAATGAGTGTTTCTGCACAAAACAAATGAGAGCTTTTAGTACTACAAGTTTACACCTCATCATGTTTTATTCTACTAAATATATGTAGATGGGGAAAAAAAAAAAGTATGCCACTGATACAATAATTCAGTCCAAACCCAAATACTATTGTTAATGTACCATAATGCCAAATGCAGCCCTCAGACTAATTTTTTTTTGCCCTCTGGCTTCCTGCTGAATTGGCCCACATGATCATAGGTAGTACGTTTTGCTGCAACTGTCGCTATAACGTCAATAACATCATAATGTATGACTTTTGTTCTAAGCTTTTAGGTTTGGTGGTTCTGTCTGTAAAATACATCTATCTGAATGGCACACTGAGACACTGACCCTCTGCTTCAAATGGCCCTCAGTGGGACTGGGTTAGAAACCAGAGCTACAATCAGTAGATAGCAGAGTAATCTGTAGTTGCTTTGCTTTGGTCAAGACAAAGTCTTAATGGACAAATTACAGGTCAGAGCTGTGGAGCAGAACCTCGCTCACAGCAGAACTGCATGTTTCTCAAAGTATTTTTGGCTATTAAGACACATGTAATTAACATAATATAAGATGGATAATAAAAATATAAAATAAAAACATTCCCATGACCCAAGCAGGTAATGACCCCCTCAAGAAAAGTTGCACCTTTACATAAGCAGTTTTTTTTCCTCTTGAATATTTACAATAAATATATAAATAACAAAAGACTAAAAACATGTAATCAATAAGGAAAATGCTATCATTGCATTCTGGAATCTGAAAGCCGCCAATCCCTGTATCTAACTGGTATTTCCAGAAGGAATATCCAATTCCATAACTATGTCATGTGATAATAATGTGTAGGTCCATTATCCTACTATATTTATCCAACCCACACCACAAAATGTACAGACTACATATAGTATCTTTACATGCCCTCGCATTAGTTAAAAACTCCTTAAGTGTTTATAGAATAATGGTTATACAAAAATTTGCACTGCACTTAATTTGAAGGACTCCAGAAGTGCTGTACGAATCATTCACAGCTAGAGGTCACTATAGCATAAGGATTATCAGTGCATAATATTTTAAAGGCCACAATCAATGTGGTTTACTGTGCTCTAACTATAACTGAGTATTTTAACTACAATTATGTATTGTATTTTACACATAAATTAATTCACTTGAATTCACTTACCAAAAGCTCCTTGTACTTTGGCCTTTTGGATTCGTCCTTCGTAAGGCTGCAGGAGTGTAAACATGTAGTAATTAGATTACAGTTAGGTTAGGACAGCACATGTGTTCTGCTGTGTCTCACCATAGATTGACAAAGTTGATGAACTTGGGGGAGAACTGTCTGTCCTCAGAGTTATTGAGCTGTGGAGGCTCTCCCTTCACCACCTGTGTGAGCTGGTCAAACACACTGTTCCATTTGGGGTAGGGAAAGCGCCCCGTGGCTAACTCATACTGAGGACCGGAAAAAAAAAAAAAAACATGGAATGATTTACCTTGTATCTTAGTAGTATAAAAGGTATGCACACAGGTATGCGCATTCACACTTTACTTTAAACTTTAAACTTAAACTTACTTTAAACTGCCTCAGTTCATAATAGTGCTTTCACTATAGGGCTGTACAATATACTGCAATCAAATCGAAATTGCAATTTGAGCTGGTATAATTATCAAATCGCAAAGGCTCCATTTATTTAGATAATGGATTTCCCTCTGCAAAGAACAACATTGTACTTGTAGTTTAAACCTCCACAAACAACTGATGAGGTTCTTGTATTAAATTATCAGATTATATTTCAGCCTGTTCTCAAATGTGAAAGCTCCTGGACTATGTATTGCAAATATAATCAGAATAGCAATGCTTCTTTTTTAATTGCACAGTCCTACACTATAGAAAGTTTTTTTTTTAACATGACCAGGAATCAGACTTTTTCAAAGAATTCAAATTACAGCTCCATGAACGGAATAGGGGACATATTCAAACTCAAGCCTCAAATGCAGGAAATGCAGGATTACTCAAACATGCTTTTTCATCATTTACAACTCTGAAGGCTCATTTATGCTCCACTTTCACACGTAAACAAATCCGTGTGTTCCAAGAGTAGTAACAGTTACTGCGTTTATACTTGTCAAGGCTGCATTATTACATTCTTTTTAAAAGTCAGTTTGAGCATTGACCAAAAGGATGAAATAGAGCAACTAATAAACAAAAACAAGGAGGTGCCCACCACAGTTTTTACATTGCACCTGGTGGAACAGAACCAAGAAAATTAGGTGAGAGAAGCATTTATTTGTTTTGCAGCCAGTTCCATTCACTTTGTAAAAAAGTTTAGCTGTGTTCACTACTGCCCCCAGTGGTTAGGTCATGAAATGCTCCATTTCTAATATTCACATATTCTGAGGAGACAAATCAGATTACAGACAGAACAATGCAGAGGACACAGAGGCCTCCACGCATATCCGTATCTAGAACATAGAGCATAAATGAGGCTTAAGAGCTCATGATGGAGGAATGCTGTTCCAACTAGTAATGCCAATACAGCTTTTCAATTCCAGTACTATGGCTTTAAGGAGCTGCCAATACCTGAGTCTGAAAACAGAATTGATTTACTTAAAACAAAAATAAAATATGACAGAACTGATCCAGATGTGTTATGTAGTCGTTATTTAACAGTTTTGTATAAATAAATGTTCAAACTTTTATTTAGGCTTTCTGGGGCAGATATGAACAGAAAATAATCATATTAACAAAATGATTTTTCATAATTCTATCCACATATCACAGGGCTCATAAGGAGGAGTGTGGAAGTGTTCTCACCAGAGTGATGCCTAGGCTCCACACGTCTGAGCGCACGTCATAACCCTGTCTGGAAGCACTGGGGTCTATCCTCTCCGGCTGAACCACACGAGACAAAACCAGGTGAGAATACTTTATATTCACTGTTTACAGACATGTACCTGTAGTTTTCCTCTCACAGTTTTTATTTAGTATTGTCATATCTCTGCAAGAAAGTTTTCCTCTAATCTGACAGACTAAAACCATTGAGGGAGTGATGAACTAATTTGTTAAAAGGGCCTATTTTCTGATCTCTGTTATAATGCTGTTTCCTCATCAAAAACATACCCACAGATGTGTTTTGTTTCATTCACACATGTTTAACGCAATGTCTGAATATATAGGCTAAGTTCTTCTCTCAAACTAGTCTGTTTCACCGTGTGATGTCATGTGGTAATTCAGGAAGTGTTTTTAAAATTCATACACCTTCACTAGAATCATTTGGACAATTTCAGGCCTGGAATTGCCTGTGTCTAGGTAAAAAAGCTGTTAACTTGAAAACTATCACTACATGACATCACAAGGTGGACTAATAATAAAGGGCTACTCAGACATGTGTGAATGTAACAAAACACAACTCTAGAGATGGCAATACCGGCTTGCCAAATCTGATCCCGTCAGATCTCAGAAGCTCAGCAGGGCCGGGCCTGGTTAGTACTTGAATGGGAGACCACTGGGAAAATCAGGTGCCACAGTGAGGCGCCAGTGCCAAAAACTGTTGTTGTGTCCTTAGGCAAGACACTTCACCCACATTGCCTAGTATGAAAGTGTTGTGTGCGTGAGTGTTGGTGGTGGTCGCAGGGGGCGATGGCGCAGATTGGCAGTCTCGCTTTCATCAGCTGCCCCAGGGCAGCTGTGGCTACAGTAGTAGCTTACCATCACCAAGTGTGGAGTGAATGAATAATGAACTGTAAAGCACTTTGGGTATCTTGAAATGTGCTATATAAATGCAATGATTAATTAATTAGAGATGTTTTTGAGGAGGAGGCATCATTATAACATGGCTTTAAGCTCCTAAAAATCAATTTTGTGCAATAAAAAATTATAATTTGTGGTAATTAAAATTTTTTTTTTTTTTCTACATCTTTAGTTAAGATGTCTACAAACATGTTCTGAAATGCAAGTGATTCTTGATATTTCAGTGAAAATGTTAATGCTACTGGACATACTTAAATGACACTTATACATCAGTTCTCTCCCTAGTTATCTAGACAGTGCTCACCGCCATGTAGGGCCTGCAGCCTGCATCTCTGGTCTTGGCGATGGAGTCCACCAGCTGACCACTGATGCCAAAGTCGCACAGTTTAATGTTCCCCCGGCGATCCATCAGAATGTTAGAAGGCTTGATGTCTGTGCGTACAAGACAACACAATACCACTTTACTATAAGAGAAACTACATGCCCATCAGCTATCAGTACAAGCACCCACCTCTGTGGATTATTTTCAAGTTTTCTTTTAAGTGGTTCAGTGCTTTAACCGTCTGCAAAGAATAAACCTCAACATGTCAGTCTAACATGTTCTACAATACATACATATGACATATGTAATTGATCATTTACTCACCGCTAATGTTATTCTGCCTAATATTTCCTCTGGAATGACATCGTCTAATGAACAATATACATATTTGTAGAATTTGTCTAATGAGGTAGCCATAAGTTCCATACAAATCCAGCAGTCACCCTAAGGAGAGGATAGAGGCCAGTTTACACTTGAAAACCTACACATGGACACACACTACTCTTTTCTGCTTAAAAACATGTGAGGACACACTCATAAGCTGTGTTTACACTCTAGATTTTAGAAATGTTGAAGTCTCAAATGAAGGGGTGGCCCTATTGATGCGTTTCAGATGATGTCATCAACACCTCAGTCCCTGGGGTTGTGATGCAAACCTGAGGCACTCTGTATGAAACTCTGTTACTCAAGTTAGTTTTATCTGTGCTTTGCTTTAACACAATCTGACCATAAAGAACAGACTTAGTTGGAACTACAACAGGTGAGCTGATTTGTGCAGTTAAAGCAGTCCCTCTGAAATAATATTACAGTCACGACCTAGTTAGAATTAGCCAACTGTTTTGGTCACTCTCACCTTTTTTTGTTCAAACACCTAAATGAGGCCATAAAAGCTTGCAGAGAGTAAACTGTATATTGTGTGTTCTTGGTCCCCCTTGAAAATTAGATGCTGCATCTCAAGGGGATTTCCATGAATAAATTCAAATTTTATTGATCATGGAAAGCTAAATGCAGCATTCACGTTGTGAACACAACCTATGCTGCTTATGAACATGCATACAACAAGCAATGAACATACACGCCCGTCTAAAATCATATTATTAAATGTGTATGCCAGTATGAGTGGTGTTCCTATACCTCCCTGAAGAGGGCGCCATAGAACTGCACGATGTAGGGGCAGTCGCTGCTCCTCATCACCACGTCTAGGTCCATAAGCAGCTGCTTTTGCTCCTTCTCATCCACTGTCGAGCGAATCCTCTATACACAGGTATATACAGTTTAAGGAACAGTATGTGAGATTTTGATGTTAAATACAGTACCATTAACTTGACCTATCTGTGTCCCCAGATACGAGATACGATGTACAAATCAAATATATTTTTTTATTGAATGACTTTTGACTACAAATGTAATTCTGTTTTAATTTTAATTACAAAACATTGGACATGATGGACACGTTCTTTATGCTATAATCTGATGTTTTGGATTTTGGATTCAGCCAGGACTAGACTCTCTTAAGTATATTTAATGATACTAGCTTGTGTGTACCTTGACAGCCATGATCTGTCCCGTGGGCTTGTGCACCATCTTGTTGACAGAGCCGTACGCCCCTCGACCGATCTCTCCCAAGTCCCTCAGGTCCTCTGCAGTGAAGTCACAGTGCTGCTCTGGGGAGATCTTCAGCTTTCCAGATGATTCCAAACTGTGTGTGCGCAACCGCTCTCTGCACACAGGGTACACAAGGGGGCAGCATGGAGCAGGGGGAGGAGTAGTGTGTGTGTATATATATATATATATATATATATATATATATATATATATATATATATATATTATATTTTGATTCATTTATGTGTGGCACTTACTCACATTTAGGCAGACTGACCTGACCCAAAGTTGTTTTTCTGTCATTACAGAATTAGAGTTGCACTGTTACACCAAAGCCCTGGCTTCTGTCAACACATGTTACATACAGACAGCAGCCTGAGTGCAGAAAGCATTGCTGCTCAAACTTCAGTAGCCAGACATCCACTCATACCTGATTGATACAACTAGCCCTGCCTCCTGGGAGAACATGAAATCTGCTGAAATCCTACAAGACCACAGAACTGTATTAAAATCTGCAAGGTGAACCCAAGATGGGGTCGTATTGTCTTCAGTGACCTGTCCTCATTGGCGCATGGGTCCCAAAAATGTTTTCTCTTCCGCATTTACTTCCTCAATATGGCTGAGCTCCATCCACCTGTGTGACGTCTGTAACATGCACAGCATGGAGTGTTTGGACCAATCAGAGCAAGAGCTGCTGGAACGGAGCTAGTGTGGGCTCAGAGCGATCACTTTTAGGCGCTTTGAGGATTTAATGGGCCAGTCCAGAATTATGGACATAGAACCTCATTTCCTAGTTAGTGTTGGAGACATGTGGAGATATTTTTTTTAAATATTCCAATCAGTCCTTGTATTTGTATTTCCATATGCCTCCAACACTCTGGCTAACTAGGAAATTAGGTCTTATGTCCAAAATTCCGGGCTGTCCCTTGAGAGTGAGAGTGAGAGAGAGAGAGAGAGAGAGAGAGAGAATGGGAGCACTCACATGTGTGGGTTGTGGGAGGCAGGGGCTGTGGGGTGCAGAGGCAGCCTGGACGTGGGCTTCACTGGGGGGTTGGCAAAGTTGAGCTTCAGAGCCTTCCGTTTGCCTGGAGAAACAGCAGACATATCCAGTCCTCTGCATGCACATCACATCCACACAGCACTGTCACAGAGGACTCATGGAGCAGCACGCAGCAGCTAGTACCTCATCTATTATCAAAGCCTTACAATACAACTAAGCAAAGCACTTCAAATTAAATATAGCGCTCAACAGTGCCACCATAAAATCCTCATGAATTTTTTCTATAAGCTTAGTCGGAGTTTTCCAAATACAACTCTTAAAATGTTTGTGTATATATTAACCCGCTCTGATCCTGGTGTTTTTAGTAAAAGTAAATAAATTCCTATTCCTAATATGGAACTCGGCTCCAAATTTGCTCCTATAACTTCTTTAACTGATCCTATAACTTCGTGAGCTTCATTTGAGTGGAGCCGAATGCTGTGGATGACTCTCCTTTAGTCAACTTCTTTTTGCAGTCTATGCTCTGCGCTAATCAGCTATGTGGTAATTAATCTGTTTCTGAAAACTTTATACACTGAAGTTGCTGAAATATTATTTCCTTTATTGAATATTAAATAACAGCATTGCACATTAGGTAGCACAGAGCTGCATGCCTTTAAAGATTATTACATTTCAATGGGGTAATAATCTACGTTATAATATAGTTTCCTCATCACAAAATAAAAACATACCCGGAGTTGTGTTTTGTTTCATACATGTTTAACACACAAACCCTGCCAATTTAGGCTGAGTTCTTCTCTCAAACAGAAAACACTGTTCTACCCTGTGATGTTACGTGGCAATAAAGGAAGTGTTCTGTGTTCTGTGTTTTTAAACTCAGTGCACGTTCACTAGAATCATTTGGATGATTTCTGCCCTGGAATTGGCAATCCTTAATGAACAGATGTAAAAGGTCGCTATAACTAAACTAATAATAAAGGATTGCTCAAGCATGTGTGAATGAAACTAAACACAACTCCAGATGTGTTTTTGAGGAGGTAACAGCATTATAACATTTCTATATATATTTTTTTTTTAATGGGAAAAATGAATGGGAAATTTACTTTGAAGTGGTCGAGACTTTGAGCTTCATTTGAGAAGGTTGATCATTTCTTAGGAAATTATTATACTTTTTGAAAATTTTTGGAAGACATTTCTCTGATCATGGTACCAAACTGAGTGTACATAGTGTTTTCAGTGGTTCTCCATGAGCCTCCTGTTCAGCCTCTAGAGCACTAGAGCAGCCAGGGCAATCTGATCATAGTGCTCTGTACAAGTGTCCATCATACATGTTCAGTGCAATAAAACAAAAAACATTACCCATAAGAGCTAAGCCTTTGACTTCACTGAAATGCTATTTGGCTAATTGCCAATAAACCATATAGAAATAAAAGATGGTAATACATTTTAAGGGCATGATAGAATAGACAGGTATATTCAAATTTTGAACAGTTTAGTGCCTAACCTCTGTGAATTCCTTTAGACTTAAAGCTGCATTATGTTGTTTAGTAGTCAGGGATGGGTCCACCTCCCACTTGTCTCCATTAAATTGTAATTGCTTTCAAGTTGGAAAGTTGATCTAAGCAGTATTGCCTCTCAGATCTGATATGCTTGTCTGCCCAGATAAATAAAAGTTTAACGCCACACTATGTAACATTCTTGACAAAGTGACAACATCTCCATGGAGACAAGTGGGTGTCAGAGCCTCCATCAGCAAAGTTACAAAGAGCATGTTTAACATTGTTTTGTGCCAATTGTCTTTTACTCTGCTGCAGTCATTTCTCATTTCAACAAAGCATAAAAACAGTGTGAACACAAACAAGGTGCCCAGAAATAGTGGGGTTCCCAATGCTCAGACTTGTGGGTAAAATATAGAACAAAGTAGACTGTAGTGACAGCATTCGAGTGTAACTTAAAGGTGCTGATATTGAGAACTCCAAACATTTCTAGCATAAAAAAATAAATAAAAACAAAGCTTATCTGACCATGTGAACAGACCAAACAATCTTGACATGATTGTGGAAGTGCTGGGTCTAACATGCCCTCTGAAATGAGCTCAACAGTGATTGCCCACCACTTGGTTCTGGAAGTACATTTAAAATTCATCTTTTCCCATAGATTTAAGGTTAAAAAAAAAAAAAGTATTAAAAGCTTGAAGGCTTGCTCAGGGCTTATCAGGTAGGTGGTAACTTAACACCACAAGACTTTAGTGTTATTTAAAATCTGTTTCCATTATTCCATTATTCCATTCCATTATTAAAACATTGTCAAATTCAACATATTTATCATTTTTACATACATACATATCATTTTTAGTAATCATTCAGCAACACCATCTAGTGGTAATCTGGGATACACATAACCATAGTTACATTTGCAACCTTCACTTTTGTGTTTTTTGGACTGAAAGCAACAGCATTATAGACAGTAGTTACCACATAGCTGGTTGGTCTGCGTTGTGTTTTTTAATATGGGAATTTTTCCAAATCTCTATGGGAAAAATGAATGGGAAATTTACTTCCAGAACTAGAGCAGACTTAGAAGTGGGTGGAACTGTTGAGCTCCATACCCCTGACAGACAGTGGACAGACTCCCAGACCAGAGCACCACGCAGCTCTTCAGTAGTGTACAGACGCTTCCTTTCACCTGCCCCCTCCCACAACTGGCCCCAACCAACCCACAGTTGGGCCCAGCCAACCCACACCCAGCCCTAACCAACCCACACCCAGCCCTAACCAACCCACACCCAGCCCTAACCAACCCACACCCAGCCCTAACCAACCCACTCCCAGCCCTAACCAACCCACTCCCAGCCCTAACCAATCCCACAGGAGAGAGCAGGCCCAAACTCCAGACAGAGAGACACAGAGGGGGAAAGGAAACAGCCTTAGACTACTGAGGGGGGCATCAGAGCAGGTACTCATGAGAGCACTCATGAGAGCACCCATGAGAATGCCCAGCAACTGGAAAGCAGGGTGACGGAGGGTGCAGGACTGAGCCTTACTTGGAGGCGCTCCTGTCAGGCTTATATGAAACCCTGAAGCACACAGAACACATTACTGCAACATCAGACACTGCCATGGGACCAGAGAGATTTGCTCTAAAATACTATTTAGATCATTTCTGTTTCATTAGTAGCCTAGCTAGGGCTGTGCAATGAATCACATTTTAATTGAGATTAGAGATACTATTCTGTCATCTCTATCTCACATTTTTTCTTTTTTTCCATATCACCCAGCCCTAATGGTATCACGTTGATAAGAAACTATTTTATTTTAGAGACTACATGCCTACCTGAGTGTAGGCTTACACCAAACAACCGAGTTCAGAACTAAAACCAAAGTCTGAGAAAATGTATTTTGAAGTTGTCACTAATAGTATACTACTGCACGAAAATCCCAAGAGTAGGTGAGCTCTTGCTTGATGTGGTCTGATTGAAAGGGGTCTGTCTACTGTGGAGCTTATGGATATAAACAAATATGGAAATAATTCATGCAGTAGGCTGTCTGAAAATAAATCAGGGAAACACCAAACATGATGGAATAAGAAATATTTGAAGGAGCCCATATGAAACACCCTTCACATAAATAGAGATCCTGCACATAAATACTAGAAGACACAATACCTGTTTCATTCTGACATCTCCAGCAGCTGTTGGCTTCTGTAAAGTTTAGATCAAACATGTGATTTGGGAAACATTTCCACACACCTCAAACACTAACTCTATATTAGTCTAGAAGTGCAGGACGAACATATGGTAAACCTATATACATAGCTACAATATATATTTAAGGAAAGACTTGTTCCTACTTTCTTGTGTTGTAATAGGCCAGCCAACAAAGTTCTGACCAGTGAATATCGATGTAAAATGTAATGTCCTTACCCATGTGAAATGTGGTCTCATAATTGTGCATTAAGACTCACTGGAAATGGCCACCTAATCCTTGAATTCTCAACATTTATAGACCCAACTTTTTCTGATTTTTTTTTTTTATTATATTATATATTTTATTTCTAATAGGCTACCATCTACTACTTCCTACTACATTTCTTTTAAAAAAGAAAAAAAAAAAAGCTCAACTAAAAAGTTTATGTCTTCTGTCCCATTTAAAGCCATGCTCATCCAGACACTTGATTTGTGCAGATGTGCAGTTACAGTCTCACAACAAAAGGTTGTTGTCTAATGCAAAAGTTGCGAGTGGGATGTCACTGATTAAAGTCAGTCACAAATATTAGCTAATCTATTCTATTGGCTTTTTATCTGCAGTTCTAACCAGCTTTGGGTTTATTCTTGCTTTTATTTTGTACATAGTAGGCCTACATATACCAAAAATAGGCTATAGACTAATAATACTACTAATAATACTTTTGCTTAAGTAATCAAATGCAGTATTTTGTCATTTCTAGCATTCATGATGACGGTTATTAGCAGAGGTAGCCAAAGGATACCCTTTTTACAGCGTGCTGGTCTACACAAAATACTAGTTTTGCCATTGTAAAAATATAGGCAGTCAAATATTACATAGTCTAAATCAATAATATTATTAAGAGAACGATTATTGTCATTACAATAGTGACTATTAGCACCAAATCCCAGAGCCAGAGCCAAGGTTAGTGGTCTTAAAAGGCTGTAGTGTTTTTGACATTAAATGAGAAATTATTACAGCTTCAGAAGGCCTGGTAGCAGCTAGCGCTAGCCTTGATAGAGGAATAAACATGGCCATTTAAACTTAATGCGTGTTACTAAAGGCTTTGCTATGATATGTGCATTCACTGTACGGTTACAAACATATAATCTTTGGGGTACAGAGGGATGAGAGTTGAGTGTAGGCCTAGTTAGAGCAGAGTTAGCGCTAATGCTAACCTGATAGCATTCACTTTCCAGCTGTACGTAAAGGCACGTAAACAACACACAGCAGAAAGCAGGCGCTCTGAACGCGCCTTCAAAATAAGAGCTAAGACTATTACACCTGCACCGTCTCCAAGTCTCTTTTATATCACATATAACTTATTACGCATAAAGTGACGTAATGCAGCTTTAACTTAATAACAGAAGCTGTTCATTATGTGAGGTGACTGCAAGCTAAGTCTTGTGCCAGCTTTTTACTTTTTACAACATTATAATCAATTCAAATCGTAGTAAAATCCAATCCATAACTAATGTCCTTCCCATGTTCCTATGGTGTGCACGTGTGAAATGGGTGACCTTTTTTAATGAGATCTTAACTACTGAATTCCCAACTTTTCCTGCACAGAGTAGCCTGGGGTGCAGAAGTATTACTTTGCCTCCACTACATTTGAAAGACAAATATAATACTTTATATTTATAATAGAATAGGAAGAGGGTTCACATTTTCTATGTGCCATTTAAGTAAAAATGGGTAGTTTTGAGATTCTGAAATGCAATTATGTCATGGGGGGCAAGGATCATGTCATCTGAAACCCACCAAGACGCTACCAACAATTTACTTTACTTTTACTTTACTTTGAAGAGGCGCAGAGGAAGCGCTTGGTTAACACGTCCCTGTTGGCTCTAGTGTTTGTGCTCCAGGTAAAGCTACTTGCTGTTATTCTTCTCGTGTGTATATGTTTGTGTAGAGGAGTAAAGCCCGGTGACATTGTCAGCGGGGCCCACCTTGCATGCTGCTGCTCTGGCTGTGCTGTTGGAAGTGGTGCGACGCGGAGCCCACGCCGCCGCCGCCGCTGTTGGAGCCCGTAGAGCTGCTGTCCGGACTGGGAGTCGCCATTGTTGTGGTGGATTCCTCCGGCAGCAGGCAGCGCTCAGGCTGCAGTGCACTGTGCAGACTGCAGAGTCGAGTTCGCCCTCTGCGCTCCAGACGGGACACTGCGCCACTAAGCGAGGCAACCAGCACGCACCAGAGACGTGTCCTGCAGACATTAAAGGGCCCACAATTTTCTGATCTAAATTAAAATGTTGTTTCCTCATCAAAAATATATTCGGAGTGTCTGTCTTTCACACAAGTTTAACACACAAACCCTAACATATTAAGGAGTTCTTTTCTCAAAAAGGAAACACTGTTCCACCTTATGATGTCGTCTATACAACCTGTATACAGGTTTTCCACTGTGCTTTTAAACTCCATACACCTTCACTAGATCCATTTGGACCATTTAAGACCTGGAACTGCCAATGAACTGAACAAAAGGTAAAACAGTAGCTATTAACTATCACTAAATGACATCACAAGGTGAAACACAGCACTTTGAGCTTTCGAGACAAAGATAAAGGATTACTCAAATGTGTTAATAAAACAAAATTCCATTATAATATTTATTAAATCTCACAAGAGTCAGTTTTGTGTAATATAGGACCTTTAAAGGATCAGTTGATTCTCAGTTGCACTTTTTTTTTAAGCATTACCCAATTAAATTGTAACCAACCTTTCACTAGATTAGACAATTAACACAGTTATGCATTCCATGTTTTTGCAATTACATTTATTGAGGGCCTATATTGCTAATATTTCCACACAATAGAATGGATCATCCAACAGCACATGTAAAATATTAATTCCATACAATAATTCAAAAGCAGTAAAACACCAAAAATTATCTTTGAATTTTAAGACACTGCAAGAATGTAGAGTTTCATTAAAAACTATAAATATCTCAGTACTGACCGTTTTTTTAATATCTTATAAATATGATGTCTGTAAAATCAGACTTTTAAAAATTATCTGTATGTGTGCAAAAAATCAACAGCAGTTGATAAGTTCCCTGATACAACCACTTCCACAATCACTAAAATTGACATTTCATAGTCTTCACTAAAGTGCACACTCTAAAGGTTGCCTTCTTTGGTTTTATGAAAAGTCCAGAATTCGACTTGCTGTCCTCCCATGTCCCGTGAGCACCATCCTGTCCTGATATACCGACACTGTCCCGAAGGCGTTACTGTCTGGGGGTGTCTCTATGACACCCTCTAGTGTGAGGTGGTGCACATCACTCTGCTGGTCATGGTGGTAGCCTCCATCATGGTCATGTCCCGCCATGAACAGCACCACACTGGGGTGTTTAAGGAGCAGCTGCAGGAGGGCACTGTGGTTCCAAGCCAAGCACACGGGGTCTGTGGAGTCTGGGTGCACTGGCAGGTGGCCTACACATAAGAGAAGCATATACCCATATTACACTTATATGGGCAGTCTGTGATGTTTTTTGGTTTTTTTTGTAAAACAATTCATATCTGGATGGATACAATTTTTGCACTTTTCAAAAATTTACATTCAGGGATTGTAAACATTGAGTTTAGCAGAAGACAAGACTTTATCAATGCATTCCAGAAAAGAGGATTCATCATAAGCAAAGGTAAACCATCTTAATGTTTAATATAAGAGAAATGTGGAGGAGCACATTTTTCTCTAAATCAGTTGACCCTATTTTAGAATGAGGAATCCTATTAAATATGTCCTACATAAATCAAACTGTACATGAATTTGAAGTATGATCCATGAATCTGATGGCTTCCCAACACACTCCAAAAGGTGATGACTATTAAGTCAAATAAGTGTCAAGTACAGTATAAATGAATACAAGCCAAATAATTCAACTCTTGTAAAGCGGCTAATGTGCAGCTGATACATTTGAGACTGACCAGTCAGAGGTCGTCAGGAGCAGACTCGCATTAAACTCTGGGCTAGAGGAATAAAATCTGTTCTGGACCAGGTTATGTGCAAAGACTTACCACAGTGACTGACTCAGGGTTTGGATTAACCCGCTCTGTGAAACAGAAAACTCTGAGTTGGCCTGTTTTTGGGGTTAACAAAGTCTAAGCTTGGCCTAAACCTCCTTCTTGAAACAGGGGAAAGGAAAGTATTCCTCTGTGGGGGCTTAATGTCAACTGCAACAGTATTGTTTAAAATGAGCAAGCAGGTTAGGAGTACTTATGAGTAAATAAGGAGTGTAAGTGAAAGCAGCTTGATGAAGACAGGGAAAATAATTGTACTTACTGACAATGGTGACCTTTTCCTGTTTGTCGTCTGCAGTGGACAGAATAGAGTCTAACCAGTCAAGCTGCTCCTGACTGAAGCCGCCGTTGAACTTGGCAAATCGCTGCAATAAGTGGTCTGACATTGCTAATGGAAAAAAGAAAACATTGACAGGTTTACATACACATTGTATCAAAGCTGCAAAATTAATCATAATTGAATTAAAAGTTGGATGGATACAATGAGCAAATCATAAAGGCTGCAATTATTGAAGCGCCACAATTTCCTCCACAAACAACAAAATCTCCAGTCTTATTCTGCATAAAAACTGCTGGCCCTGTATATGCAACCTGAACTGACAAATTATTACAAGAATCACATTTCAGAACAGGTTTGTGCAGATGTTAAAATGTGAACTTTGAAGAGAATACTATTCTTAAAACATAAACAGCAAAACTAAATGCAGTTGCAATGGTTGTTAGAAAAAATTGTATTTATTTTTTTTAACCCCAGGTTGCAGTATGACTTCTTAAGACAAAACGTCTAAATACGGATTACTTGACAAAACAAGAAACAAAAGCAAACTCACTCCAAAAGTAGCCAAGAAGAATACATTTTAAAGAACAAATATTGTGTTTGTTTTTTCTCTAGTTATAATCTATGATATCTGTGGATCATCAGGTTATAATTGCTCTCTTGTTTTTTTTGGAACTTTTATTGCCACAAATTAATTCACATCAACAGTGTCCTAAGACCGGGCCTTCAAACAATTTATATATTCACTTTTTTTCTTTTTTTTTTTTTCCCCCTTCCCTCCCTCCTCCCCCCTCTAGAAGAAGAAAAGAGAAAAATAAAATAAAATAAATACAATTTGCAAAAACAAAAAAAAACAAAAAAAAAACATAAAAAATAAGGCATATTAAGGCATACATATCTTATTTGAAAAAGTAAATAATTGGGCTCTATTTCTTTTCAAAAGTTGGCACCTTGAGCTGTAGTTGAGCGTTAACAGTTCCATTGTATAAACTTGTCTGATTTTTTA